CTCGAGGCCGGAGTCCCCGAGTGGTCACAGCAGCACTGGCCCGGGCAGGGCTCCGGCCACTGGGACTGCGGACTCAGCCACCTTGCCCTCCTCCCTCCCCCGCAAGATGAGCTCCTGGACGCGGGCGAAGCTGGCACCTTCGACGTGGCCGTGGTGGACGCCGACAAGGAGAACTGCACCCTCTACTACGAGCGGTGCCTGCAGCTGCTGCGCCCCGGAGGCATCCTCGCTGTCGTCAGTGTAAGGATGAGACTCGGGAGGCACTCGGGCTGGGAGTCTCTTTCCCGTGGGCCCCTCCCTGGGCCCCGCCCCCAAGCCCCGCCCCGTGCTCAGGAAAGCCCCGCCCTCGAGGTATTCAAGCCGAGTCCCCAGGCCTTTCCAGGCTGAGTCTCCAGCTCGCGCCCCGCCTCCTGCTCGGGTACCTCCCCGGAGGCCCCGCCCCGTGACGCTCCGCCCTCCGCAGGTCCTGTGGCGGGGACGAGTGTTGCAGCGCCAACTGCAAGACGTGGAAACGCAGTGCGTCCGAAACCTGAACGAGCGCATCCTGCGCGACGCCCGGGTGCACATCAGCCTCCTGCCCCTGGGCGACGGCCTCACCTTAGCCTTCAAAATCTAAGGCCGCCCCTAGCCACGGCCTCGATGGAGGGGACCTGGGAATCCCAGCCGTCGACCCCGTTTTAAATCCGTCAATAAAGTGGGTCCTAGACACAACCTTCTGAGCTTCCACTGAAGTGGGGTAGGAAGGGAAGGCCCAGCACAGCCGGCTTCTTGAGCTCGAGGGAGCCTTCGGGTCAGTTCACCTCCCGGGCAGTCCTGACGGCCCAGGCACCAGGGCTGTGGCCCAGGCACAGGAGCCTCCAGCTGACTAGAGCCTGGGCGGTACAAGTCTTAATTGACCTGCCCACATGCCATTAGAGGACCCCCGCTCCTCAGGTCCGCCTCTACTTCCGGGCTCAGGGCTAGATGGGTGCAGCCACCTTGGTCTCCCTGACACCTTCCTAGGAAGGACAGTGGCTGAAGTTCAATCCCAGTGCAGCTGTGACCAGTGGGGAACGGTATCTGGGATCTGACAACAGGCCTTGCAGGGGAGGTGAGCCCAGTGCAGCCAGCCACTTGCCCATGTTTTGCCATGTCAGCTCGGCCTCACCTCTGCAAACCAGGCCATTTGGCTTAGACAACAGGACTTAGAGGTTGGGGACTGGGTGGGATCACCGGCCAGAGATGTGAAGCAGACCAGCCTGTATGTAGGGCAACTTTTAACAAGTGCCCAGAGGAAGACAGGCTTTGCAGCACCAGCACCTATGTGCAGGAGGTGGCAAGGGAGCCTGGTGATTTTCTTGTTTAAACCTTCCCAAATCCTGTAGGATGTCCAAGCCACAGATGAAGGCACGTTCAGCTAGTAAGTGTTCTTTTCACTAGAAACACTGCCTCAGCCTAGAACACAATTAGGTTTTGCTACACCGGGTTAGGCCAGGATGGTGGGAGCACTGGAGGAGGCTAGAAGCCACAGGAGCCCACAGGTGGCAGCTTTCATAATCCCACAGGTCCTGTAATATTCCTTGTGTTTCAGACAACTCTCAGCCCCCGGCTATAAACCCATCCTCTCTCCCACTCAGGTGCACATAGGTGGATAGGTCTAATTTTCTGTACACAGACCGGTGACAAACTGGTAACTCATTTGTGCCACACTTCACAACATATGCTTGCACCCCAGCCCAGAGTATTGGACCAGGTGAACAGCCTCAGCATGAGGGAGGGCCACCTGTCAGCTACGGGGCAACAGGCCATCCAGGGGCTGCAGATGTTGCCAGGCCCAGTAACCTGGTTTCTCCCCACCCACCCGACCACCACCAGCAGTTTGAAACTTTCCTGATCTACTTTTTAAAAAATCTTTATTTTTTTATTGATTTCAGAGAGGAAGGGAGAGGAACATCAATGATGAAAAAGAATCATTAATTGGCTGCCTCCTACACACCCCCTACCAGGGATCAAGCCTGCAACCCGGGCATATGCCCTAACCAGGAATCAACTGTAACCTCCTTGGTTCATAGGTCAACACTCAACCAGAGCCATGCTGGCCAGGCTGCTTCATACGTATGTGTCCCAAAAGCACAAGAGGTGCTTCCACAGTTCTTCCTTACGTAGCAATAGGTCCTGACTCAAATAAATTGGCTCAAATTCCAGCTTTCTGCCATTAAGTCATGTGTGTCTGATTCATGTGGGCCATTCTAGTCAGTCCCTTAGGACAAACAGTGAGACCAGAAGGAGTCTTTGTGCCCCAGCACACCTGAGGGGAGTTTAACCCTTTGAGTGCCAACCAATATCCTAGGAACTATGCTAAAATTGCCAAGGCATTTTTGCTGATTTTACAGCAGTTTAGGAAAAAAATTATGAATTGCAAGTAAATGAAGATACATATTCAAAAACTTAAGGAAACCTTTACTACACTGACATATTTAGCAATATCATCATCACTAATAAAAGCAGACTTAGAACTGGACGCTATCTCGAAGCTTTGATAGCGCTCCCAGCTCTTTTGGCGAAAGACAGGAGGAGCGCGATTGCGCTCCCCGGCACTCTAGGGGTTGGTTAACTTAGGCTTCTAATTCCTCATCACATTCTTCTTGACCAGGAAATTTTCAGCAACAATCACTTTTTGGGCAATGAGTCTCAAAGCACTCCATTTTATTTGTTCTTTATCTGTACTTCAGGTCTGTATAATGAATTTGTTAACAAATCTCCCCTTCTCTAACCTTTATACCCATCCTTCAAACTAATCCTCCCATCAAAAAACTTCTTACCTACTTTTCCAACCAAATTACCTATTAATTTCTATTATGCAGCACAAGTCCAGATGAAGGCCATGGGCCACATAGACTAAAGATGTTGCCTCTGGTCCCAAACTCAGGCCCAAGCTTTCCAGTCAGGAAAATGAGTAATGACCTCTCACTGGGCCTATATACTCCTCTCACCGTCCCTCTGGGTCCGGATACTGTCTACACCTTATTTCATTTCCTTACACCTAGTCTCATCCCACCTAACTTAGGGCCTAGTTCATTATCCATATCAATAGCTCACAGGGGTATGGTGTGTGTATAAAACTTCTAGCACGTCATCACTTCCTTTCCAAGACCTCCTGGGGTTAACAATGATCCAATGTAATTCTGCACAAACTTACAAGCTGAAGATGTAAAAGGCATGTATCCCCTTACTTTATTGTCATCTAAAACACTCAGGGAGTTACTCTAGGGACACACAGAAGTTTGTGGCACAGGTTTTGGTAAAGAGCAAACGCATTTAACAGTTAAATACATTAAATAATGTATAGGTGACTGCAGGACTGCCGCATTGGTAACTAGATAACCAATTCAACTAGAAACCAGCTAACAAGTAACTGTCTACATACATATTTAAAACACAGCTCTTGTTTAGCTCATCCTGTTTTGATCACCTTCTTGGAGGGAGAAAAGCCTGCTGGTCACACTGGAAATATATTAAGGCCAAATCTTCTGATATCCATTCCCAGAGGTTGCTTCAGCTGGATTAAGCCTCCAACTCCAGGGCAAGCCCCAGTTTGTGGCCACCAGCATTGATGCTCTTCCCATCTACCAGAGCAGACAGCGTAAGCTTCACACCTGTGAACAGAAGCAGACAACCAGGACGTGCATCAAACACCTCATGAGAATCTAGTCGTCTTTACTGTGCCCCAGCCTGCCTAGCACTTTTCCTCAGCCTGTCAGATGACGTTAGTGCCAGCCACCAGAGGGCACATGTGAATACCTGAGCTAGCAGAGAGAATTATGTTGGCACCATCCCGGGGTAAGGTATCAAGTCACAGAACATAAAAATGTTAATTATAAAGTACAAAGTGCTCTAGAAAATGCAATAATGTTCAACATATTATCAGACTAAAGAAAATCATACTTGAATCCTAGAAAGGAAAAATTATAATAAACATTTTGGGAACAAGTGGGGAAATCTGAGTAGACTACAGTACATATCAATTATTACTCATGTTAATCTTCTTAGCTGTGAGAATGGTATTGTAGTTTTAAAGAAAAATGTCTTACACGGGATATGCACACTAGGGCTGACGTGTCTACATATCTATAAAACACATTTAAATAATTCATAAGGGCATGTGAAAAAAAAGGATTATATATACAGACATGGAAAGATAAAATAAATGTGGTGAATGTGGATACAGGAAGTGAGTGGAAAGCCCTATTTGGAGGCAGAAGCTCCTAGTGCAGTGGTTCTCAACCTTCCATATGCCTCAACCCTTTAATACAGTTCCTCATGTTGTGGTGACCCCCAATTTCATTGTTACAAATTGAACATAATTAAAGCATAGTGATTAATCACAAAAACAATATGTAATTATATATGTGTTTTCCGATGGTCTTAGGCGACCCCTCTGAACGGGTCGTTCGACCCCTAAAGGGGTCACGACCCACAGGTTGAGAACCGCTGCCCTAGTGCTTAGAACCTTACTACCCAAACGGGGGTTCAACAACCAGGGACACTGGCATCACTTAAAAGCTTACTAGAAAAACAGAACTCCTCAGAGCTGTAAGAACAGCATTTGCATTTTAATAAGATCCCCCAGGTGATTCATGCAAACACTGAAGTTTGAGAAGTAATGCTTGAGAGAATACAGCAAGGCTCAAAGTACGATGTAAAATAAATTAGATTATAGAGACCGAACACCCAAAGCAATGAGTGAACTTTGATTGAAGAAATAAAGATTACTATAAGACATTTCAGGTACAAGTGAGGAAAATGACTAGAGAATGGATAATAATATGGCATCACTGAGAACGGTACTGAATTATGCGAACAGGAGGATGTTCTTACTCTGAGGAGATATGCTGAAGCATTTAGGGAAGCGTCATGATAGCTGCAGCTTCCAAACAGCCCAGCAAAAAAAAAAAAAGAAAGAAAGAAAAGAAAATACAAAACTTTGGCCAAAAGTAAACATGCGTTCATTGTACTCATTTGTCAATTTTGTGTGACTGAAAGGTTTGTAAAATAAGAAATGAAAACTAACTTTTATAACACTATCAGAAAAACCCTACTTTATCAAGAATACTTACCAGGCCGCAGAGTCTGAGTGTAGCCCACTCCAATTAAACTAGAGTTGTTGACTTTTGCCTAAAATAAAATGCAAACACTATTAAGAAAAACTTTTGAAAGGAGACAAAGCCCCTACATGTTTCCCTATCAAGCAATTATAGTGTTCAGCCTTTTTACTCACATAATAAAATGTAATTAGTTATTAAGCCAAACAAAAACCAGGTAACACTTAATTCTTGTCCATCAAACTCAAAGTCAAATTGCCAGTCGGACACAACACTCACCGTATCTACTGGAATGTGTCTACAGACCCCAAATTGTCCATATAGCACAAGAGCCTAAGCATTCTCATAAGAATCATCCTTGTTGAGTCTAATCTAGCAAAAATAAACCACATCAAAATGTGGTAAATGGAAGTCCACTGGGCTCACCAGCTATATGACACACACAGTCTCAAAGTGTGGGATGTGAAGTTTAAATTTATAACTTTGACGCGGCCCTTTCAAAAGTCGTCCTAAAGAATCAAAACCATCGATGTTCAGAATCTCCAAATGCTAAGTACTTCCTCTAAGAATACGACTGACTAAATCCTTTACCTTACATTCTCCTTAACACTTGGATTAACTAGATGGTGTGAGAAGATGTACCAATGAAGCATCATTACCAATCCAGGTCCCTGCCCACCTTGCACAATTCATTATTTTAGGATTTAGTCACAGACCTTCAAGGGCTGAAAGGAACCTTGGAGAACAAAACACAGTAAGAAGTAGCTGCATCCTCTCCCACTAATATCTTTAAGCCATCTCTAGGGCCTAGGAACACTATGGTAAAAGATTAACAAACAGCCTGAGTTCAAAACAGACTTAGAAATGAGTTGATGTCTATACTCTTTTACAAAGTGTAACATCAAACTAGCCCAGTCCAAGCCCAGCTGGTGTGGTTGTGGCTGAATGTTGACCTATGAACCAGGAAGTCATGGTTCAATTCCTGGTCAGGGCACAAGGGTTACAGACTTGATCCCCAGTAGGGGGCATGCAGAAGGCAGCTGATAATTATTCTCTCATCATTGCTATTTCTATCTGTCTCCCTCTCCTTTCCTCTCTGAAATCAATAAAATTAAACCCCCACTCCCTACCCCCCCCCCAAAAAAAACCACAGCCCAATCCAGAGACAGAAATGATGTAACTATACAGGTAGCTGTCACATAAACTGCACTTATATTCTGTTGACACAACAGCCAAGTTCTCATGAGCCACCAACAACCATGTGAGTTGTCTCAGAAAGAAATGGGCCACCAGTGACCATCTTGTGCCCAACAAATTTAAGAGCCTCAGAAATCAGATTCAAGTTCCTACTACTTTATAGAGTCAACCAGGAAACTGTGATGCAGCATTAAGCAATACTTCGTTCGGGTGATGCCTGACTGGGGCAACAGCAGCACTACTTAGGTGGGAAATGGTAGATATATTTCCAAATATAATCCCCAGGAATCACTCAATGGCACACAGGTCCCCAATTCCCTTCCCATTTCAGACTATAGGAGAGCTGCATCTTTTGCTGGCATTAAATCTGTGGTGGTGCCATAGGCATATGCCTGAAGAGAGTAACAATGGAGCTATTACAGAGTAGTGTGCTGTGTGACTCCTGCTACAGTGCAGTTAGAAACATAGGGAAAATCAATGAACCACCGCCTTGCCAATGGGAAAGCATTCTGGGTCCTTCTCATTCTCTCTGATTTCAACTGTGCTAAAATAAAACAAGAATGGGGCTAAAACTTAACTGCCTAAATTATTACAACGTTGTCTTCAGAAATGAAGATTACTTTATGTAACGAATAATTCTCATGAAAGGTTTAACTTTCTTTCATTCTCAGGACATTGGGTACAGGCAGTCCCTGGCCTGTAAACTGATAGAGGAGCAGCTGCTGATCTGCCTGAAATTGGAGCCAGCCCCTCTACGCCCTGAGATGCTGCACTCCCTCCTACTCCAACCCACTGTGACTGAAGGAAGAAAGAGCCTAAGGACAGGATGAGGGTGGCCATCCAACCCAGTTAAACTGGGATGAGGGGGGAGTCCTTGGGATGCAGAACTTTCAGTGATAAAACTAGGATAGGCCCAGGCAAAGCAGAATGACCAAGCTGGTCACCCTAGACAGGAAGGAAATCAAGACATGCAGTCCTATCCTGGCTGTACTCTTCCCTTCCATCCCTTCTTAGTACTGGTTTAAGTCCTTTCTCCAAGTTTTGGTTTCTTCGACTACAAAATGGCATATATACTACTGAACACTGAGATCAAATCTGAAGATATTTTGCAAAGAATAAAAAGATAAAGTCAGAGTGTCAATTGACGTATATACTCCCCAGCGGGAATGAGAACTACCCAGGACCCAAAACACTGGCTTCCCTGGACTTAGACAGCCTTGGGGCTCAGGGTTACTGGTTACATGGTTCTGAGGATTACTGTGGCCTAGATTATCAAATTTCTAACACAGTCTCCCTAAAAAAGCAGTATTCAAAGTCCTCAGCCCAATCTGTGTGTAAACTGGGGATACTGTGAACCACAGTTCACATTCTCAACATAATTCAATAGACCCAAAGGTTAATTTCCATAATCAAAAAACCCATATATTCTAAGCCCATACTAGTACTTACAGAAATGGAAGCAGTGGGATCCAACTGATATTTAGCTGCAATACCAAAGCGAGTGCAGTTGGTACCTGAAGTCCACGCAAGGTTTACTGAAGTGTCAAGATCTTCACATACTTTCTGATAAATTGAGCCTCCAAATTCTGTCCCATCATTGCTATAAGATATTTTAAGTTAATAAATCTAGAACAGACAGTGTAATGTCTAAGACACTAGGTTGATATTGTAGTAGCATTACATTTAAGTAAAAGCCATTGCTCACATGGGTCTCTAGTGTTCCACTGAAAATTTTCCTTTTAAAAGGTCTTTTCCCAACCTATGTCCAAAAACAAGGATTGGTCAAATAAATCCAGTGGAATTACCAATCATGTTGTAGAATACATAATGCTATAGGGAAATGATCAAAATATATTTAGTATTAAGAAGAAAAAGGGTTATAAAACAGCCTTCTCAGTATGTATTTTATGTATTCACATACTGGTATCAAAAGGTAAAACATTAACAATTAACAAAGATTACATACCTACATGATAGGATTATGGGAAACTTTGGTTTTCTTCTTTGTATTATTACTTACCAATGCATTATTTTGTCATAAGAGAGAAAATTATTTTTCAGTCCTTCTGACATATACACCTAATGTGGGCTAGGTAAAAACACTATACATTTCAGATAATCCTATCAAATCAGCACCTCACACATCATGGACAAATAAGCCAAATAAATGCACTAATAGAATCTGGCAATGTCTTAGCCTCTTCTAACATTTTTAACTATTCACTTTTGATGGGCACCCTAGAAATGCCCAAGGATGATCTCTTTATATGCTAAAAGAAATCGTTCAGGTTTGACCTAGGTTAGTAAGAAATGACAGAAGACATCAATGTCATCCTGAGATCTTACATCATAAAATCCCACAAAGAAATACTCACACATTAGTGTGTAGCTGGAAGTCCCCAGTCCTATAGCCCACTGCAAAGTTGTTCCGTGTCAGCTTTGATTTGGCACTGTCAAAGGTCATCTGGTACCCAGCAAGCCAGCCCTCGTAACCAAAGACAGCTGAGCCATGGATTGCAGGTCCAGCAAAATCAAAGTCAACATCACATCCAAGGTTTATACATTCCCTCTTGTAAGAAGACTTGATTTTACCACTTTTCTTTCTGGAAAAAGAACAAACTGACTTAAAACGGATGCCAGTGGGAAAGATTTACATAACTTCTGCATAGAGTGGCTAAGACAGACTAGGTAAACTGCAGTATAACTGGAATAAAAAAACTAGCAGGATAGTCATATAAGAGGCAAAATATATATGTGCGTATGTGTGTGTCTGTGTGTGTGTTGTCTTGAAGGGTGTTTGCTGGTTTGTCCTGAAAGAGTTGCATTTAATATCAGACTCTGCAGATGACACCCATCAGGATCTCCAATACTCAAACTGGTATCATTAGAACTGGTTTAGAAGAATGATGCAAAAAGGATATGCGAGTAGAATCGTGATTATTTCTGGCATTACATTTTTCACTGTTGGTGAGCTGATGGTCACTTTATGAAAGATGTCAGGAGTCAGGAAATCACCACCACCCAACTAGAATTAACAGGGTTTCATTAGCAAGGATCAAATCGATGCCTTAGTAATGGAAAACCAACTGATACCACCTCAGTATGATCTTCTATTAAAACAAGACATCTAGCCCACCACTGTGTCTCAGTGGTTGAGCATCAACCTATGAACCTGGAGATCACGGTTCAATTCCTAGTCAGGGCACATGCCTAGGTTGCGGACTCCATCCCCAGTAAGGGAGCGAAGGGGTGTGCAGGAGGCAGCCAATCAACGATTCTCTCTCATCATTGATATTTCTCTCACGCTCTCCCTTCCTCTCTGAAATAAATAAAAACACAAGAAAAACAAAAAAAACAGGACATCTTTGGGCCTTTTTAAAGTCTCTTGAGCGTTTTTTAATAAAAACAAATTCTGCCTTTAAAAAACAATAAAATAAAAATTAAAAATATATATAGCTCACGAATTAAAAGACAAAGGCAACCCTCTCCCTCTTCCTTCCTCTCTCTCTAAAAATCAAACAATCAATAACAGTTACAATAAGAGAACTTGAAATGTCCAACAATCTGGAAAAGATGTTCAATCCGAGGAGAACACAGGGAAATGCAAATTAAAACTAATAAAATACCAAACTGGATTCATCAGATAGAGCACCTGTCACCAAACAGTGAAACCAGAAATCGTCTAAAACACTCCCAATGCCGCCTCCCTTTAATACAGTTCCTCATGTTGTGGTGACCCCCAACCATAAAACTATTTTTGTTGCTACTTCATAGCTGTAATGTTGCTACTGTTATGAATCGTAATGTAAATGTCTGATATGCAGGATGTATTTTCATTGTTCGCGACCCACAGGTTGAGAACCCCTGGAAAGGGAGATATATACTTTTGCTGAGTCTGTAAATTTTTATTATTATTTTAATTAATAAACTTTTTTTTAATCCTCAAAAAATAAATAAATAAAAGACAAAGGCAAACATGGGATAACTAGACTGCCACCACCACAGGAAGGCTACTTTGCATATCTGACAATCCATCACAAAAGTATATTCGAAACACGTTAATTACCTAAGTTACTAACACAATGAAAGCAGGCAGATAGTTGAAGGCAAGCCAGTGATGGCAACCATAGTGTTCATGCTCCAAAGGCAGAAACAGAAATTTGCCACAAGGGGTCGGGGTAAGCTATCAAACAGTAAATATGCATCGTTCCTAAATATACAGAAGAGGAATGCTTTTGAATTTAAAGCAGATAAAATGTCCATGCTTACCCTGTGTTTGGTGAAAAGGTGGTATCAAATGTCAGTTTCAAACCTTGACAAATCTATTTTGAAAGAAAAAGAATGTTTGCAGCTTTATTTCCTTTTTTAAATACAAAAGTAAAATAATTAATATTAAAACACATTTTCAAAATGTTACCTGGTCTTCAATTGCGATTTCTGTTCCCAGAGTGTTATCAGTGTTCCATTTTTCTGTGAAAGTCAGACCATACTCACACCATTTATATTTGGTCTCCAAGGTCCCAGTAACTTTACCAGTGTCTGTATTAGATGAACCAGATGTTGAGAATTCCTATTAAGACAATAAATAACTTCATGAACTTCCTCATACGCATTTAAGAATCCACTCACTACCTTACACACACACACACACACACACACACACACACACAAAGAGACCACTGAAACACTGACTAGCTTCACTAATCCTTTTTTTCTAGCTTGCCAAATATTCCTACCTTCTACTACTCAGTATACACAAGAGTGAAAATTAGTCTAAATTAATAACTGCTACCTTACTTACAGCTGACATTACCAACCAATGAGAAGTTAACCTGTATCTAATTCTCAAATGAACAAACTGTACACCTTTCAAGGAAACTTCTAAGGTGATTTTATTTGGGATTAAAAAATCAGTGCGGGAGGCATGTGGGGGAGGAGAGAGAATGTTTTGGCACTATATCCAATATATTTGATATTGAATAAAAAACTAAATAAGCCACTATGGTTATCACAGATCCCATCATTACAATAAAAATTTGTAACAACAGATATTGTGTTTATTACAAATTGTTTCCTGGAAGTCCTTTAAAGGAAAGTATCCCACTGTAGGAATTCACACACTGAACACATGATTTTTTTCTAAATTCTTAGTAATCCCAATATTTTGTTTCTGTGAGATAAAAAGGATCTTCACCAGGTTTCATGCTTTTCCAACCATCTTTCACATTCTCATTAAAAAGGGCGCCCTTGCCAGTATAGTTCAGTGGCTAGAGCATCAGCATATGGACTGAAAGGTCCCAAAGGTTCGATTCCATGTACCTCAGATGCAGACTCAATCCCCAGCCCTGCTCAGGCTCGTGTGGGAGGCAACCAGTTGACAGGTCTCACATTGATGTTTCCTTCTGTCTCTCCCCCTCCCTTCCACTCTCTCTAAAAGTCAATAGAAAGCCTTAGCTAGTGTGGCTCAGTGACAGAGCTGATAGAGTGTCGGCCTGCGGCATAAAGGGTCCTGGGTTCGATTCCGGTCAAGGGTACATGCCTAGGTTGTGGGCTTGATCCCCAGTACAGGGTATGCAAGAGGCAGCCAATCAATGATTCTCTGTCATTACTGATGTTTCCATCTCTCTCCCTCTACCTTCCTCTCTGAAATCAGTAAAAAACAAAACAAACAAACAAACAAAAAAAAACCAAAGTCTATGAAAAGCCCTAGCCGGTTTGGCTCAGTGTATAGTATATAGATCATAAGCTTGTGGACAGATGGGTCCTGGGTTCGATTCTGGCCAAAAGCATGTACTTTGGTCACAGGCTCCTCCCCGGCCCAGGCCCAGGCTCTGGTCCTGGTCCTGGTCCTGGTCAGGGCGCGTGCAGGAGGCAACCAATCGATGTGTTTCTCTCACAATGATATTTCTCTGTCTTTCCCTCTCTCTTTCACTCTCTAAAAATCAATAGGAAATATCTTCAGGCGAGGATTAACAAAAAAAGGGTTGGGGGGAGCAGGGGAAAGGATTTATAGATTTGCTCTACAACTGGTTTATATCATGCATAATATAAACTCTATTATGAACAATAGATGATATCAGCAGAAGAAATCTAATACAGAAATCAATTTGAAGTACATTATATAATCTTATGTTTATAGCAAATATAAATAACGTGCAAATCCCTAACTGCACACCAACTGAAAAGGAAGGCATAATATGGAGGAGGGTTTATCTGAGATTTTAAATCTGCCACTGATAACCCAGAAATCTAGTAATGTTTCAGAGCTCAGTATGTAGGCAGGCAATTGAAATCTTCCATGATAAAATATTTTAAAAAGCCCTCTGAGGATACTGACTGACAATTTGTCTGATAATAATGGCTTTGGCCACTGGAAAGCCACTTCTAAAAAAGACAGCTCATCTGAACTAAGAAGAGAAGTTCAACCTGAAATTGTGACACCTGCAGAGGAAACATAAAACACTGCAGTGGGAGAAACATTTGCCTAAATTGCTCTGCACTAAAATAGACTCAAAAGCCTTAGGTCTTATACACAATCTCCTGAAATTAAATGTCTTCATAAACAGGAATTTCAAGTCAAAGCTTGGTACTCAATGTCCATATTAAAAAACACTGGTAAGTTAGGAAAGAACACTGGCTGTAAAATTAGGAGGCCCTGCATGCATTTGTTGTTCACTAAATGAAACACTGAGGAAGACATTTAACTTTTCTGGGACTCGGCTTCCTCAGTCCTAGCCAAAGAGCTAATATGCTAATTAGACCAAACAGCTAGATGACTTTCCTGATGACGAAGCCCGAAGGGCCAAGACCCTTGCACAAATTTCGTGCATCGGCCAATAGTTACAATATAATCCTCTGGAGGATTAAACCGAACTGACACTGTGAAAACTTTGCATTTTCACATGCTCTACACAAAAGGAAAGCATTATTAAACTATATGGCCCTAACCAGTTTGGCTCAGGGGATAGAGCATTGGCCTATGAACTGAAGGGTCCCAGGTTCGATTCTGGTCAAGGGCATGTACCTTGGTTGCAGGCACATCCCTAATAGGGAGTGTTTAAGAAGCAGCTGATCGATGTCTCTCTCTCATCAATGTTTCTAACTCTCTATCTCTCTCCCTTCCTCTCTGTAAAAAAATCAATAAAAAAATAAAATAAAATAAAATAAAATAAAAAAAGGCTACAAAGTTTCAATTATAGAAGATAAATAAATCCCAGATACTTGCTTCCAGCCTGCCCTAACCTCCCCTCAAGGAGGTGCTGAAAAAAAAAATATATGGAGCAAGTTCTTGCAGCAGGTACCTGAAATGAGGAATGTGTATGAGTAGCTATTTTTACTCCTGAGTGACAATGATTAATGATTCTTGAGGCCCCACCCACTACCATCCATCAATCCATAGATTAAGAGCTCAAGACACAAAACCACATTCACACTGTGGAACCAAAACTGGGCCAGATGTGACACCACTGGCGAGCTTAGACCCTTCACTTCATCACCAGATATTTAGGCTTCTACGTTGTGGGGTGGCCTGGACATTTCTGCAGTTCAGGTGAGAAAACAGAACCAGCCATTAATGGGACTTGTTTGGAGCCAAGTACATAGTACAAGATCAGTACCATACTTGTTGAATTATATACAGTAAATGGAAACAGAAACATACTACAGTATACTGTATATAATCCAGCTCCTTTATATTCATGATCTTAAACCCAATTTCATAAAACTTTCCTTAACCCTGTCTACAGTAAGCCCTTCCTTTCCAACAAAGAGTTTCATATATCAAACAATCTAGTACTAGATATTTCTCTAATTGTTCCCCAGTTTAAAGTTTATTGTTTCTTTAAAAAGCAAATAGGCTTTTAAACACAAAGACTGTCTTTACTTTTTTTTTTGAGGAGGAGGCCTTTTGTGTTTCAACAAATACGCAGCAAGTGTTTATAAGAGGTTAAGAGTGGAAAAACAAGAAAATAAACCGTAAGTCATTGCTCTGAAACAGGTTATCTTAAACAAATAAGTCACCGAACCACACTGAATACTCAGGCTTCCTTTCAAACCAAAGAAACCAATTGACAGACATGACAAATATAAAACTCCAGAAACTCAAGTCTAGGCATTAAGAAACTATAACACAGTTAATTTCAAAACCAGCTACATGAACTAAGATAATTAATACATACACCAAGAATTCATCAAAATGGCCAATAATTTCAATATGCACACTACACCCCATCCCCTAAACAATCTCAAAACAAATTTTAGAGGGAGAAAAAAAAATTACACAAAATTTTACCTTTCTCCCTTTGAGGGAATTTGTTAGGCAGAATCAAGACATCAAGTACCAAAATATTAGCCTCTTTAAAAATATTCAAACCAAGCCTGGCCAGTGTGGTTCAGTGGGTGAACATCAAGGTCACTGTTAAATTCCCAGTCAGGGTACATGCCTGGGTTGTGGGCTGGATCTCCAGGTAGGGGGTGTGCAGGAGGCAGCCGATCAATGATTCTCTCTCATCACTGATGTTTCTATCTCTCCCTCTCCCTTCCTCTCTGAAATCAATAAAAATATGCATTTTTTTAAAATATTAAAATCAAGATTCTCTGAATTCATAAAATACATGTGAAAATATCCCCAAAGGAGAGAATTAGTACACTCAATTTAAGTCACTGAATACGTTTATGCCCAGAATTCTTAATGCTTTTAATAGGTATTGAAAGAAAGGGTTATGAAAATGCGTAACAGGTTCCCGGTCTTCAAGCCTGTAATCTTACTGCATAGAGTCCCAGATGGCCAGTGTCAGTATTTACTGAGTTCCTTGTGCATACAAAGTAGTATCGCAAAAGACTACATGAAAAAAGGCCAAAGCCAAAATAAATCCCTTTAAATACAATTAACTTCTGCCTTTCCTTTACAATAAAATGGGTAGACATTTTTGTTTTGAATATTTTATGGATACAAAATTATATAAAGGCTCATCAGAACTTAGATTTGGATATCTAACACTCACCACGCCACTGCATGACTTTGTTTTCACGTCCAGTTTCACCAACCCAAAACCTTAAAGTAGAGAGCAAATTATAACAATAGTTGACTATACATTAAAAAAGGAATCAAGAATTCACATATTGGGAGGGATAAAAATATTCGTTGAAACACAACACTTCAGGAAAAATTTTAAATTATTCTATGTAAACTGACATGTAAAGAACGGAACATCTCTGCATCTTTGCCTAGTGTTTTGGTGTATTATCTGGCACAAAAAAAGGAAGTTTTCAAACCATTTTAAAACCTAAAATGAGAATCAATTCAAATCTCAGAATAGCCAATAGTTTATTACAATAAACATTTAGAACTTTTATGGCAAAGGGGTTATCTCCCCCTTGGGATTAATAATCTAAATAACTAGGGGGATATAATCTAAAGTAGAAGGGGGGGGGGGGTTGTGGACCCAAATCTTTAAGAGAAAAAAAAACACACAACACAAATTCACTTAACAAATTCCCTTGAAAAAGTCCAAAACAGTAATATATAACAAGAATAATTCTAGTCAACCAAGGTTTAAACTACATATGAAAGAAATGAAAACACAGCTGTTTTTTTCCTTAAAGGTAAAATCCTTGAACTACAGTTTAAGAATATTGGTGGAAATTGGGGTGGAAGGGGATGTGGACTGTTACAGAACTATTTTAACAGAAATTTTATCTAAAATGTATCCAAAGAATAATTAATGCAGCAAGATATTTACAATTTGTAAAAATTAATAATTTCACTAAGCAATCCAAACACACATTTTTACCTCCAATTAAAAAACAATTTTAAGTTCTTACCAAATCCTTTGTTGAAAATATCTCTGGCAGCTTTCCCAAGGTCAGCATATGATGGAGGAATACACATTGCTGGTGGAAGAAAACATTAGTGTTAACGTTTCTGTTCTCCACTTCTGCCCAAGAACTAGATTATGACCCACTGCTATCTTTGAATTCAAACAGTCCAATAAAAAAATACGGAAAATAAATTGAAGCAGTCCAATTTGTTGATGTGGGGTATTTTTTGAGTTAGACCAACAGCTTTATTCAAACATTGAAACAAAGACAAAATAAATTAAGTAGGTAAATAAAAAAGAGGCCAGCGAAGTCTCCCTACTCCCAGGCCGCCTGAGGCCTCCCGGAGTCCTGCGGCCGGAGAATGTTGATGTGTGTTTGACACCACCAGAAGTTACAATAAACTACCCTCTAGCTCTATAAAAGAGGAATCTCCAATCAAGGCTTATTTCTAAAATGGATAACCACAGTAAGTGACTATACAAATTGGGAAATTCCTTCCAAAAGAAACACAGACTTTCTATTCCTAAATGTGCAGTGCCTACAGCCTCCCTTCCTAGGACAGGGCCAGTACAATCAAACACATATACATATACATCTATCCTTACAGATGTATCTGCCAAAACTCACTGCAATGGGCTCATTTATTTAACCAAATGAGATAGAGTGAAAACCTAAGACAAAGTCCTCTCCTCCACGTGTCCCTCAGTATCCTCGCCGAGATCAAAACATTCTGGAGTGGGAAGAGGAAGGTGCATTATACTTTGGGAACTTAAAAACTGAACTTAGAAATAATACAGCCGTCTATGTTCCAGTCAAAACTGTCTACAACTAAGTATTAAGTGGCATTTAAAGCACATTAATGGGATACTCCTCGGCCAACGCCACGCGATTTAAGGGCAGGCAACCGGAGCGAACACCAGCTCATTCATTCTACAAGGGGCGCCCACGCCCTTAGGAGCACGTGTGATGACCTTGCGCTCTCGCAGGGAGTTACTACTTCCTCTAGAAAAGTGACTGATCCGGTCCCCCCAAAAACCGAACCCCACAATAACTTTTTGCCTTTGAGTTCGTCGAAGGCACACCCCAAAACTGCAGGTGAATGCAGCCACACACCGGCTCCCCCTGCCTAGCCCCTTTATCCGAAGCCCAGCAGCCCTGCCCCTCCTCCGCGGAGCCGGGGGTCTGGGCCCGTGGAGTGGCTATCGCAAAGGGCGAGTCCCCAAGGCCCCGGAGAAACGGGGGACGGGGGGACGGAGGAGTTGCGGTTATCTGGCCCGCAGGCTTCGGCTCCCAGAACCCACCGCCCCAGCAAGCGGAGAGCCCGCTCTACGTACGCCGCGCGCAGCTCTGTCCGTAGGTCGCCATGGCGAGGCCGCGGGAAGAGGTGGTCTGCGGAAGGACAAGAAGTGCAGTCAGCGAGAGGAACAAGGGGGCGGAGGGGCCAGAGGGGCTTTGTTGGCCAGTAGCTTAGGCTTTTATATAGAGAGGTATTACCTAACCTCATTGTAGGATGACTTCTTTTTCATTGTCTTTACGTTATTCTTTATATTTCAGATTGTCTACTATATGTAACAAATAACTTAATCAGTCTCAATTAGGTTATTGATGTAATTAGAAAACTTGCCAAGTAACTCCATTTGTGCGGAGCAATACGACGCTTCTCTGAATAACATTCCTCCAGGGGAAGAGAAAAAATTGAGATCAGTAGACAAAATATAT